ACAAAGAAATTTTCCCTACCTCCTTCTTCCTTAGTTTTGCGAAGAGCCTCACGGTACAGTGTTCCTCTTCCTGGCCGGAGACCAAGAGACACAGGAGTACTAGGAACAGGTGTGGCTCGGCTGACCATTACTTCTTGGGTCATTTCCGCAAACCTCATTACGTGCTGTACACATAAAAATATAGTGATATTTCTGAATTATCAGATTTTAAATGATGGAACAGAGTTGCCACTTCATATATTTAAAAAAAGAAGAAGAATTATCATCCCTAGGTAAGCAATTTATTGAGTTCTCAATTAGTGCATCTATACCAACCTCCCATAAACATAAACATTGTGACCCAACTGTACTGCAACTGCTATAAATTACACTGTGGATTTCACACATTTCCTGTCATGCTGCATTTCTAGACTCACGAGAAGACAATTTTTCATACTGTTAATCTCTGCTACAGGGAGTTTGAAGGATAAGCCAAACAGATGTAATCATCTCATTATGGACAGCCCTCAACCCATTCCTACATACACATTAAAATAACACTTATTAAATAATGAATTGTTAAATGTAATACTTGACAAAATTATTCAAACATTTTGAGAATGTATGTGAACAAAATATTGAAAAAAATTATAAATCTTCAAAAAAATAAGTGCTATTATCTTTAAAAAAGTATGAAGTGGTAACACTTTCCTTGCTTGCTGTTAAGGTTCTACTGAGAATAAATTGTGTATTTACTATTCCAGTTTTTGACACATTGGGAGTAGAGCTGGGAAATTTAATTGATCAATATAATCATTTACCTATCAGCAACAATTAGTTTTACATCCAATAATCAACATTAGTTTTTCGATTATTTCCAACAAGCAATTAATAGAAATTATGATTTACCAAATGTACACAGGGTCTCTCATTGGGTCAACTACGTATTTGAGAAATAGTGTTGACTATAATTCCAAATTTACTATTGTATCTTCACAAAATGTAATAAGTAAAAATTTTTCTCCAGAAATTAATAACTATTCTTTGTAGGTGCATAAGCAGGTACAGTTATAGGTGGGGGTCTAGAAGGTCCAGACACCCCCCTCCATTTTCTTTAATAACTGCTTTTTAATGTCTTATAAACATGCACAAATCTACAGGAAAAGTCCAGGGGTACTAACTCCAACCCATTTTTTTCCCCCAAATTAATTATTATATTATTTAATGTTGTATAATTAGGTACAAATGTAGGGGAGGTCCTGAGCCCCCCCCCTCCATTTTTTTAGTAATTAATAAAAACAAACAGATGTATTTACACTATCATATAGTACCAAAAACAGAAACATTGGATGTCACAGTTTTTATTTGGCTGGGCTATTAATTACCATTAAAACTTTTTTTTAAAGATTTTCTGAAATCAACACAGCTTGAGTATACAGCAATTCAGTTAAGGCTTCAGCCAATGATAATTTCTAAGCCAATATAACAATATGAACATCAATTAACTGTTGCCATGTTACATTTTCCTAACAATATGTATAGATTTTGGAAATTTGTTTTAATCAAAGTTAGTGTTTTTAGGACACCCACAGCTCTTATAACATCAGTGTTGTTACAGAATCGATTTTTCAATGAATAAATGTTATAAGTCTTGTAAGAATGATGTTTTTCACAATAAACGAATATGCTTGTCAATTTTTAGAATTTTTCTGTAAAGAATAATTGTTTTTGTCAAGAACCTATCCCCCCTTGAGAATAGATCATCTATTTCTTGATATTCAAGTATTTCTCTTAGTTTTTGTACAGACCTTGGCTGAAACCATTTTATGGTGTCACATCAAGTAGTCTAATCATTTACTAATGAAACAGTTTTGAAAACAACTATAAAGAAAGTTTAAACATGACTGGATACAGCAATTAGCCTATCACATAAAAGTACAATAAACATGAAAGTTTATTTCTTTTTTATAGTTTGTGTAAATGTTCATTTCATTTGTAAATTGTGAAAGTATTTGTGTGTTAAAATATATATGTTTGAAGGATACAGAAGTTTCCTACAGTAAGAAAACATCAGATTACTTAGATAACATAAGCTTAAATAGTTTAGAGAGGGATAAAAAAAACTATTACAAGTTTAACACAGTAACAAATGTACAATGTTTGGAGAAAGTTTTATCAGGTTTACCTAAACTACAAGAATATATAGTATGAAACAAAGAAGTCGCATGACTGGAGCTTGCTTAAAGCTTAATAAAAGTATCCTGTTGATGCTTAGTTCTTTGTTTAAAATTACAATGTTTTTACCTTTTATAAGACATACTATAATTTTACTGAGTTGCAAGGTTTGCAAACATGAGTTTTCTTAAATTATCTTCAACAAATAAAATCATCATCAAACCAGATAAGTTTAGTTAAGTTTACTCTTTAGTGAATATGGTAGATGAAATCAAAATATTCAATGACTCAAATCTCTGTTGAATACCATTTTTTTTTTTTTTTTGTTTATCCTTTTCACACAACATAAATAAATGAATTGGCTAACTGGCTACTTATTTCTGATTGCAATTTCCTACAATTTCATGTAAAGTGATATGGTTTGTTTGTAATTATGCACAAAGTTACACAAGGGCTATCTGTGCTCTGCCCACCACAGGTATCGAAACCCGGTTTCTAGCATTGCAAGTCCGCAGACATACAGCTGTGCCACTGGGGGGGGCTAAAGTGATATGGATGAGAATCTATATACTGAAGGAACAATGTTTGTTAATATTAATATTGTATAAACTTCCTCACAAAAATTGGATGTTTTTATATTTTCTTCTTTCAGTATATAAAAAAAATATATTTACTAATATAACAAAACATTTTTGTAAAATGAAAAAAAAATCTGATTACATATAGAAAACTTACAAGTGTTTCATCATAGTCATCAGCGTGAGGATTGACACAAACTATCATTCGAACTTTACCTTCTCCTTCAAAAAATCTTTTAAATAAGTTGGTCAGTTTTGTTTCTCTATATGGTACCATCTGAATAAAGAGAAAAAATAAAATGAGAAAAAATACTAAAATTTTAGTTATATATCTAAAATTAATTAATACAAATAATAATGAAAAACTCAACCAAATATTAAATTGATTGTATTTGTTTATTAGATATAAGTAAATATAAACAAAGTTAGAAGTGAAAAATATTTTTAAGGTGCCAAAAGTAGCCTCATATAAGGAGTATCACAAGTTAATCACATGTAATAGTTACATGTGGAATGTCTGCAATTCACTTACTTCAAAATACACGATATATTACGATACAAAAATGTCCACAAGTTTCAGCTAATGATGATAATGCTCACATTGATGCCAAAATGAAAGCATTTTATGTCACAAGATAGATTTGTATTAATCTTTCATGATGTGCATACCTCCCACAATCAACTTACTTTAAATAAACTTATTTTAACCAATTCAAGAAGGCCAAATAACCTTGAGTGTATACTAGTCCATAATCACAAACATTTAAAAATAAAATAGTAAAACAGAGGTTATAATTTAAGCCTGTTGCCTTTTTGAAACTTTTAGTTTATATACTTGTTTCTGAATGAAGAATGTAGGTAGAAACAGCATTGCTACATGCATGTAATATTTCCTTACTTTAACCTCAATCACTTGTGTTATTAAAACTAATTACTATCTCATAGAAAGGTGTGCTTATTATACAAAATAAATGTGGCACTGTTAAATCCAATTTTGCTCAATTCTCAAACTAAAGTTATAATTTTCTTAAATGAAAATGTATTTCCAATAGGTACTTCCCTCTGCTAACAAGATTAGCTTTTCTCATTTTATGCTGCCCTCTACATGCAGACTTTTTTCAGAAATGCATGCCACAAGCCTTCATCCTCTCTCTGTTGGAATCTAAGGTTCCAACACATCTCACATGCAAATCATTATGTGTCTCCTCTCCACCAATAGGAGAGTACTACTATCACGTGACTCCCTCTACACGCTACTACTGAACTGTCACTTTGAAGTTTGAAAGAAGACACGAGCACTGGAGGATTGTGTGGAGGAGGGGAGTACCTATTGGAAATACATTTTCATTTAGGAAAATTATAACTTTCGATAAGGTACTCTCCCTCCACTCACAAGATTAGCTTGAATCCCACACTGAAATGGAGGAGGAACCGGTGGAAGGTAAGCACAAGTGTATCCCACAGAAGCATTCAGAGGACAATCCCAAAATGAGAGGAACAGATCAGATGATTTGAGGAGGGGTACCGCACCACATCTGAGCTTAGTATCTCTTTGCCAGTAACATCAGCATGATCAGGAGGACCAGACATGGCAGAACATTAAACAGCCATTCCTGGCTGAAGGAATCGACAGTCAAGGCTTGAAGATGGGGTACTGGGAACCAAAACTGAGGGAATTTGTGACTGAGAGCGGTGGCAAAGGCATCGATATGAGGTGTACCAAGATGAAGACAGAGCCACCGAAAAATAGCAGGATGCAGGGACCATTCCGTGGGATAAACTAGATCCGGTCAGGATAGACTATTAGCTATGAGATTGAAAGCACCCAGTACATGACATGCTATCAAACGAATGTGATGTTGGTGGGCCCAAAAAGGAAGATCCATGGTGCAAAAACCTAGGGATCTGGACCTGGTGCCACCTTGGTGATTGTTAGAATTGATCATAACCAGCCAGTGGCTAACAAGAGAAAGAAATTGATCCAAAGCCTGATGAACATCCAGGAGTTTGAGAAGAGATCTCTCATCCACACATCAATGACCCAAAACCTCCTGGTGATACACCCAGGCACCCCAGCCATGAAGTGATGCATCTGTGAACAGATGTAAATCTGGCCATAGAGGAGAAAGCAGGACCCCCCCTGACATGTTAGCTCTGATCGACCACCAATGGAGATCGTCTACAAGGGGTGAGGGAAGTATCCAAGGGATCCCGGGCGAGGATCCATTGATCATGAAGGGCCCATTGCAGAAACCACATAAGGGCCCTGCCCATGGGTATGAGAGAGGTCATGCCAAAGAGAATGTCAGCAGAAAACCTCCTCAGGGTTTCTGTGAAGAGCCTCTTTCGACATCCAAACAGGTAGAACCAAGACCAACCAGCAAATGAACAACGATATATCCCCCGACGTGTTGCCCGTGCTTGTGATTGAAAATATGGCATCAGACACTGGTGAAGTATCTGAAGTGGTGACTGTAACTTCAGAATTCATAAGCGGGAAACATGAAGAAGTAATACTTCATTAAAATATTAACTCCACAACTGTGAAGTGTTGGAAATAAAGTTAAGAAAAATATGAAAAATAAAAAAATAAACCACTTCAAGGTAACTAAATGTAAAAAAGAACAGCGCCCAAACGAGATGTGATAGTTCAGTAGTGGTACGTAGAGGGAGTCACATGCATCATGTGATAGTAGAACTCTCCTTATTGATGGAGAGGTGAAGCATGACAAGTTGCATGAGAGATGTATTGGAACTTTGGATTCCAACAGAGGGAGGATGAACGCTTGTGGCATGTGCTTCAGACGAAAGTTTGCATATAGAGGGCAGCATAAAATAATAAAAATTAATCTTGTGAGCAGAGGGAGAGAACCTTATAGGAAGTTTTTTATGCGATGTCTGTAAATGCTTAGCTGTTTTTATGAGATAATTGTAAACTGAAAATTTATTGCAAAAAAAAAAGTCAGACAAAATTTCTTTGTATATCCACTTTACTGATGGTTCAAACAATTTACTCATAAATGATCTACAGATATTGAATTAAAAATTTCTGTTTCAAAACTGTATTACCTTTTGAAAATTGATATTACTATGGTTATATATTGATAGCTTTTTAGATTTTACCACTATTTAAAATAGTCTCATTTAGAGCTCAAATCATAAAACAAATCAAAGATTTAGTTTAACATATGTATTATCACAGATGATTCTTCTTATGAAAATAAAATGAACATCCCCCCCCAAAAAAAACTACTAATAATAATAATAGTAATATTGTTTAGTGTTAATAAAAATATTAAAAAAATGGTAGTTCAATATTTCCCAATACAAGTTTTTAACTTTAAGGAATTCTAAAGAAACTAAGGCAAAAAATTACCAACCTTGTTTGTGCCCTGTGTCTGGTTTTCACGTAATACATCTATACACGCTCTCAAAGCCATAAGTGACGTATTGATATTCCCTTAAAGATCACAGTGTTTTAGTAAAAGATTAAAAGTGATAAAAATTTCTAAAAAACGAAAAAATTAACAACTTACTGTAATCAATCATAAGTAAAGATTTTTTTCTTTTGTTTTAGGAATAAATCAAAGTATGAAGCTCACACTACTTTTAATTACAAAGTATAATTTCTGAATAGTTCTAAATATTGAACAAAACCATTTAATTCTTAGAAGATAATATAAATCTTACGTTAGTGTCTTTTTGCAAATAGCCAAAACATTAATATCATTTTTGTTATGAAAATTGCTAAATAACAGTAAAAAAAAAGAGAAGATAAATAACAAAACTCTGAAAAACTCCAACATGTATTTTATTTTAGTAAATTTGATTTTTCACCATTAACATTAAAATATTATTCTAACACTTTCCAATCTGATATCTTTTGTTTCTTATGACATCATTAAATGTTAAAAAATTATTTCTGATCTTATATCAAATCACATACAAAATAAAACTATAAATGAAATTTTCAAATTTAGAACTTTGTTTCAATTATATTTTATTTGCATTTATTTGGGATTATGAAATAAAGAAAATCCAAACTGCTAACTCTAACTTAGATTTTTGCCCCACCCCTAATTGTAACTTTTATTTGGGGAAGTAGAAATAATGAAACTTCCCATCTGTGTAGATAAAACTTAACGTACAAAACAAAGCTGAAAATAGCCCGGTATGGGCAGGTGGTTAGGGCTCTCGACTCGAAATCTGCGGGTCGCGGGTTCGAATCCCCATCACACCAAACATTCTTGCCCTTTCAGCTGTGGGGGCGTTATAATGTGACGGTCAATCCCACTATTCATTGGTAAAAGAGTAGCCCAAGAGTTGGCAGTGGGTGGTGATGACTAGCTGCCTTCCCTCTAGTCTTACACTGCTAAATTAGGGATGGCTAGCGCAGATAGCCCTCGTGTAGCTTTGCACGAAATCCACAACAAACAAACAAAGCTGAAAACTATCATCTTTGTACATGCTTTTTGGATATTTGTAGCTTGAAAACAGTGAGTTTGAGGTTTGTGATGTCCAAAACTAGAATTCAACACAGCATTTTTTGTTTTACTTTACAACTTACAAGCTTCTAAAGGTAATAAAACCACAAATATGAAAGTTGGAATAGCTTGTTTCCTCTCAGTCCATTTGCTATAGAGTTCCCTTTCTTCCTTAGACGAACTGTAAATTTCTCAACCTTTTAGTTATTACTTCAGAAGCCTTCAAATAGCCCAATAATTTTCATGGCTTTGTTTTTTTACATGCTAATTAATCATAATAATTCTATTGGTTTCCATGTGTTTATCTTGTTGATATAATTACCCTGTAACTTACTTTTCACTGTACAATATATCCCACTTTGAATTCAAAATCAACAGTAGCTTATAGTGTCCCCCCTATAAGTTTATGCTTATGTACCTGCTAAAATCCAAAATTTGATTCCCCATGGTGGACAGAGCAAAGACATGTGTAGGTTTGTTATAAAAACAATTTAATTTCAATTTCAGTATTTTATTTGGACATATGCTTAGAGATTAGTGCGAGTTTTTTTAAAATAGCTGTATATAATTTCTAAAAGGATCACAGAGCTAACTTTTAAAAATAAAATACACTGAGGTAAATACTATTTATATTAGTTTTAGTGATATCTACACTGAGTGGTTACAAGTAAATAGCCACCTAAGTTTTCGTCATTTAACTGATTTATGCTAACTAATTTGTGTTCACAGAGCACTATATAAATGAAAATGGTCCGCACACTAATTATCTTGGGCTACAACATGCCTAGAACTCAAGGTTCTCTCGAATTGTCAGATTTTGTTAGTGGAAGGATAGTTGGTCAAGCAGATGGTGGAATAAGTCAGCGGCAAATTTCGCAGAATTTGGGAATCCTGCTTTCGACAGTCAACAGAATCATCGTGCAGTTCAGGAAACACAGCAAGGAAACAGTTGAGCAGCGTCCGGGTCGTCCTGGTCCATCGGAGAGGACAAAAAGGGCTGTCAAGAGGAGCATCGAAATGGATCCCAGATTAACGACTGCAATTGTGGCCAAAGTTGGTGGGATGAGCCGGAAATCTGTTCAACGGATTCTCCACAGATTGGGTTATCGTTGCAGAGCAGCTAGACAGAAGCCCTTATTAAGAACTGCCAACATAGTCAGATGAAAGAAGTGGGCAAGTGATATGATGATTAAGCCTCTGGATTTTTGGAAGACCGTATTGTTCTCAGACGAATCAAGATTCGCTCAATTTTCGGACTGTGGAAGGATATGGGTCTGGAGAATACCTCACCAAGAGTTTTTGCAGCAAACTGTGAAGCATGGTGGTTTCAGCGTGATGGTTTGGGGAGCTGTTTAGGTTGGTGGGAGATTGAGCTTAGTGGAGTGCGTTGGCAACATAAATTTTGCGAAATACGTCGAAATATTGGAGGAAATACTCTTGCCACTTTATTTCTCGGGTTTCGTGGACAAGAACACAACGTTGTTCCAGGAAGATGGAGCACCGTCTCACACT